TTTTCTAGAGTCTTGGTAGAATAGGGAAGACAGTGTAATAAAAGCTAATTTTGAAATGAAGAATTTTAAAGATTTTCAACAGCAATAGCTCTAGGAAGTCACCCTGGAATGTTTTTAAAGATGTTCAGTAGCAATAGCTCTAGGAAGAGTCACCCTGGAGTTGCTTCTTGAGCATTGGTTTCCTGGCTGTATCTTCCGACTTTCATTTTTAAGTTTTGCTGTGAGTTGGGGATGTGTGGGAATAGCCATCCCCAGGTGTTGGGTAGGAGGCGCCCTGCAGGGGGGTGCATGTGCCCCGAGGCCTGAGGCACTGTTTCAACCTAGCTTGGAACATGGGGACTCTTGTCAGAGTAAGAGTACCAGCCTGGCAGGCTGGGGGAGCCCCGGGGTGGTCTGGGCACTGTCCTCCCTGCCTGCAGGATGGCAGCTGGAGGAGCTCGAAGGCTGCCTGCCTCATGGCTGTCAGCGCAGCAGCTCCTCCTGGCCCTGGAGCAATCTTTGGGTCCATGAGTCTCTGCGCCAGGACTTGCCTCCTGGGACCTCCGCCACTGTCCTGAGGGCCCTGGTGCCACTTTCCCGGTGGGACCCAAGCCTCAGGCAGCTGCGACCCCAGATTCGGTTGCTTTCCCTGCCGTCTCATTGCAGCACGAGTGCTCACCTCACTCAATGTAGAGCCTCAGGTTCCTTCAAGATCCCCAGAGATGGAATCTCCCAATTTAACAAGACAGTTGGTGACAAGATTTGAGCGGCACTGATTTAACTCAGCTTCCAGAGTTTAAGTTCCCAAGACACAGTCCTGCTCCTTCCTCGGCCTCATCCTGTGTGGCTGGTGTGGATGCGGGGTTTCCAGAGGGTGGGGCTGAGGCAGGTCAGCAGCAGGGGGATGGCTCATTATTGATCGCTCAATGCCTTGAGGATAACTAGGATTAATGACCTTTATAGGGCTGTAGGTTTGGAGTATATATATGTGCGTGTGTGTGGATGTATATATATATATGTGTGTGTATGTGTGTATATATATATTTAAACGAGGTGGACACGGTTATCACTGCATTTTTCTGACATGAAACTTGGAGAGCAGAGGGTTTAGGAAACTCCTGAAGCCACACTGTCAGCGGGACCCGGGCGGTCTGGCCTTAGACCCTGCACTGTTTGCCCCTCACCACGCTGTCAGCAGACCCGGGTGGTCTGGCCTTAGAACTCACGCTGGTCGCCCCTCCCTGCCACGTTGTGGGGATTTTCCTGCTTCTGGGCAGCATTTGATAGCTTGTGAAACAAGATCAAGACTTACTATGAGTGGATATGCCATTATCTGAGATCCAGAACGTTTCCTGGACCTGGCGTTGCCGATGTCACGTAAGGGAAGGTAAAAACATTTTCATTGTGGTCACTGGGGCTCCTGAAATGGTGTTTTTCCCAGTGAAAATTTACTCATAAAAATCTGTTAACTCAATACTATGTGAACAGGAAGAAGTGTGTTGGGCTCTAGTTAAATGTCTCAGAGCCACAGAAGTAAATGAGGGCACCTTCCGAGCACAGCCTCCCTGAGGAGGCCAAGGACGTTTGCCTGGAGGTTTTGCCGTGAAGCAGGACTCGGGCAGGGCTGGTCTGCCTGGAGAGGCCTCTGCCAGATGTAGGTTAGTTGAAGTAGTTGAGGGGTGGTGGCGTGAGGTCGGTGGTCCCCGAGGAAGCCCCTAGCAAGGCCGGTTTCCGTGGGATGGAAAACTGCCGTTCAGTGGCTGTAATCCTGGCTTCACGGGTCTGACATACAATCCTGCACTTGGATACTTGGATCCCAGCCAGGTCAGATGGCCCTGAAAGGACATTCGGACTGTGATGGCTGCACCCATTCTCAGCATCTGTAGGGTCTCCTTTGTATGTGTGTGTTTCCATTTTCTTTCAGCACAATTTCTCTCTCCCAGTGAAGTCCGGAGAAATAGAAGGAAAATGGAATGAAGATGTGATTGAGGAAAGTGTGGGTGTGGTCTTCGACTTATTTTGCCTTGGTTGGTGCTCAAGAACTCCACCTGACCTCAGAGCTGAGCGTTTCTGCCAGGAAGTCCTGCCTTTTATCCTACCTCGAGGCCTGTTGAGACACTCCAAGAAGCTTCGTTAACAAATTGCCTTTTCCTTTTACAGCAGTTGGATATATTTGCAGCAAAACAAAGGAATAACCCCCCAATATGGTGATGAAATGCATTTAAGTATAGATAGCATTCAGTCTTGAAGGGCCTGGGATTTTAATCATCTTTGGGTCATGTAACAAGTGGTGTTGGTGATTAAAATCTCCTGACAGCTTTGTTCTGCCACGTTCCTCAGTTTTGAATGATGATCTTCCTGGTGTTGTACCTTGGAGGGGCATTTGTGTCAGTAGAGAGCAGAGTGGTGGTTCCCAGAGGCTGGGAAAGGACAGAGGTGAGGCCCCTGAAGGACACTGGTCTTCCTGGTTTAGGGGTTTGGGGCTCAGCCACCTTCCTGTGTCCGTGTAAATTATACCCAGGATCATTTTCACTCGCCCCACTTTAGTTGAGCATTGGAGCTTCAGGATGTGTGTGCCCACGTCACCTGGGCCGTGATCCTGGAGTTGGGTGAGACATTCCCGGGTTTATAGAATTACTCTGGGATTATTGAAAACAGAAGCACTTGAGGCATTCATAATGCTATTTCCTGAACATAATTTATGTTCAGTTCTTCAGAAACATTTATCTGAGGAAGCATCTATAATTTTTGTTTTCTGCCACTCAGTGCTAGAAAGAATTGTGCAACACTCAAGTGAGTGGCATTATTCCTCTCCCTCCACCATGCAAGCAAGATTAAAGGTACCTCTGGCTCCCCTCAATCTTCTCGCCTGCAGGGCGCCTGGCGTGGCAGTGTGCTGCCTTCCGTCTTCTTTTTGGGGAGAATTAGTCGTGTTTGTGTGTGCTGCTCAGCTCAGCCTGGTGCGGTTGTGTGGGTGAGGAGCTTGGTTGCTAGGTGACCCTCCCAGGCCTGCCTCCCACCTCCCTAGGCCTTGTTCTAAACTGACAGATAACCAGTGTGTTTTGGAAGAGGACAGCAGCAGGGCAGGAGAGAGTTTGTTCAGACTTTCTCCTTGCCCTGACGTTTGAGCCTTCATCCAGCCTGGGCCCTTCTACAGAGCTGCCTTTGTGTGTTGCAAACCACTTCCTCCCAGTAACCGTGCTTTCAGAGGTTTGGAAATGTGACTGAACTCATCTTCAATTTAAAGCGTACTATTAAATTTTAATGTTGAAACGGATGTATTTTATGGCCTTTATTTGATTTCTCTTGATTTTTTCCCCCATATGAGACATGGCATCTTAAGGGAGACAGCATGGTGTTGGCCTCCTTTCCTAAGGATGGAAGTGAATTCTGAAAGCCCTTTATGTAGGCAGTGAAATATTCAGGGAACCGTTATTATAGCTATGCCTGTCCATGTAAAGCGAGCACGACTCATAAGCAGAAAAAAGTGCAGCCCGGGGGCAAGGTGAGCCCTAATGCTGCCTGTGCCTCACCTCCCCTGCCATGAGGAACGGAAGTGCAAGCGCAGGTGGTTGAGTTAGCCTCCAAGCCCAGCCTGCACCCCCTCACATCCCTCTGCATCTGCAGGGGCACAGGCCGTGCTGCCATCCCTCGCTCAGTGCCACAGCTGATGCATCAGGAACAGGGGGTGCTGTCCGCCCCTTGCTCGGTGCCAGGGATGATCTGTCAGGATCCCTCGTGCTCATCTGGTCCTCATGTCTTCATCACCAGCCTCCTGCTGGTAACGGGCTTGTTATTACCTTGGTATGGGTAATAACATACCCATACCAACATATGTAATAACATACCCATACCAAGGTGTTGTGGGGCGGTGCTCAGTCCTCCGAGGGAATCGGCCCTTAGCCGATTCATATTCAACAGGACCGGGAAATGGGTTCTTGTTCCATGTCCTGGATCCCAGGAAGCCCTTGCCCTGGACCCTGTAATGCCCGGGGTCTTCCTGAGAAACGCTGGTGCCACTGGAGCACAGCCCAGCCCCCTCCAGTTTCTCCGCTTTGTAACTGCACTTGTGTTTAGCAGGTCTTCCAGGACTTAGACGCTGCTTGGTGTGAGCCAGGTTTTGTGTGGAAAGAGGACAGATCCGAGCCGGCAACCAACCAGCCCAGAACCATCTTTTATGCTTCCAGATTCTGTGGCCAAAAACTTACCCGTGGACATTGAGGGTGATGCATTTCTGCTCCAAGACATCTGTGGACTCAGCTGGAGGGATGGAAAGGATGTGGAGCCTCTTCACTCCTGGCCTGGGCTTGGACTTGCTGTGCAGCCTCTCAGTGGCACCAGGGCCCCCTTGTGTCACAGCGGCCTGGGGTTGGTGGCACTGCCCCAGGATGTCCCAGGCTTCATGATGTCCAGGCTCCCCTGGCATGGCGGCCTCAGGTGGGTGGCACTGCTCTGACGGACGTCCCAGGCTTCATGATGGTAGGGCCTCCTTGTGCCATGGACGCCTTGCAATGGTGGCACTGCCCCAGGGTGTCCCAGGCTCCAAGACCAGTGTTCCGTCCAGCGAAGGGAAGTTGTACTGTAAGGTCTAGTCTCGGAAGGTGCCTGGGGTCCTATCCTTCAGAGCGGTCCTACACTCACCACAAATCAAGCCAGGGGAGGTCCAGCCAGAATTTGCAGCTGTGTTTCAGGTCGTTCCACAAGACCTCTTTTATTTTGGGTTAGTCAGGTATATAATTCTTTTTCTCTTTGGTTTTTTTGAGACAGGCAAAAAAAAAAAAAACTTTTTGTTGCCCAGGCAGTGGTGTGAGCACAGCTTACTACAGCCTCAACCTCCCAGGCTCAAGCGGTCCTCCTGCCTCAGTCTCCTGAGTAGCCAGGACCCACAGGCACATGTCCCATGTCTCCCATGCCTGACTTATTTTTGTATTTTTTTAGAGATGGAGTTTTGCAATGTTGTCCAGGCTGGACTCGAACTCCTGGACTTAAGCAGTCCAGCTGCCTCAGACTCCCAAAGTACTGAGATCACAGGCATGAGCCACCGTGCCTGGCCAAGTGTGTTTCTAATTTCAAAATTAAGAGGACCCAGAGCCAGTTAATTACATCTCTATTGGAACATGATCCTTATAGTACATTAGGAAAAATCATCCAGAACTTGGAAAAGGGGCTGGACAGACACAGCCCTTGAGGTTGTCCGATGAACCCCTGGGGTCTTTAACCATCTGGAGGGATGTACCATGTCAGACTCACTGTTGTCGACGGGCTGAAGCCCAGGTTTCATGAGGTTATGTGTCGGCTTGTAGTACTTTCTCTGGCAGAGATGCGAGTGACTTCTGCTCACTGAGAGGCTCATCTCAGGGACTTCATGGCCTGAGGGACGGCAGCCTGTTTGAGCTGATCGAGCAATCTCGCGCTACCCTTATTTTCTGAAACGCCTATGAGTGACTTCTCACACGGTCTTTGAAGCGGCTTCATGCCCGCGCTCCTTGGTAATGATCGAATGCTTTTTTTGACCCCTCGTCCCCTTTCTTTGGGGTGTTCCAGTCTCAGTTCTCATGTGTTCTGCTTCTGCAGGAATTTCTGAAGCTGCTGAGTGTAGAAAGCACTGAGGAGGCTGTGCTCCCACCCCTGTGAGCCTTCCAGGCATCATCCTCTCCCCTTGGCGAGGCGGCGTCCATGGCACACCGAGGAGGCTGTGCTCCTGTCCCCCGTGAGCTTTCCAAGTGTCCTCGTCTCCCCTCCAGGGGGACAGGAGGAACCTTTCAAACCCTTCTTAAACTTGTTTTCATGTCTTTAACAGATTTCTTTGCATCGTCTCCCTTATCCAGAAGTGAGGGTGAACGCTGAGTTATTCACGGGAGTCAAGAAACCACACGCAGCCCAAAGTGACGTTTGTTTCCCTGAAAGGATTTGTGTGTGTTCACCTTAAAATGCAACTCAGTAAAACAGGTGTGTTTTGAGGAATGACTTTAAATTACCCAGGTAAAAATGTGACAGTTAAATTTCATCGTCTGTGCGGGGTGTCCACAACCCCTTCTGTGATTGCGTGTGAGTTGTGACTTGTGGTTATTTTTGAAGAAAGAAAATCTGTTGCGAGGACTTCAGAGGGTGTGCTGGGATTGTGTAGGGTGGACATCGGGGGCTTCAGGTGTGGCTTCCTTGAAGAGGTTCAAAATTAAGGCTGAGAGTCCCTACTCCAAAATGCTCCGAAACCTGAAACATTCCGAGCTTCCCCATGACACTCGAAGGAAATGCTCTCGGAGCACTTTGGATTTCAGGCTGGGGATGCTCAACTGGAAAGTGAAATATTGCAAGACCCTTCTGGCCCCAGGAGCTTGGATAAGGACATGGAGGGGCCTGTGCGGGTGTCCTGGAGTGTGAGGCAGCCTGGGCTCGCTGACTGGTTTTTGTAGGAGCCACAGAAGGGAAAGAGGGTCAAAGTGGCCACGCCTGCTCCTGAGAAGGCTGGACCAGAAGGAGGTGGGCACGGAGGGCAGCAGTTGAGTCCCCAGCGTCCGGGGCTCCTGTCCCTGTGGAGTTGAAGAGCTCCTCTATTGTGGCCTCTCCTCTGTCAGCAGCCACTGAGGCCTGAAGGGAGAGGGGGCTGAGAAGAGAGGGAAGGATAGGCCTGCTTCTGGAGAAGGCCAGCATCGGCCTGTGCTAGCCTCGTGTGTTACTCCTGCATCCAGGGTGCACGGCCGTGCCTCGTGGTGTAGCGGTTCCGGATGCCACAGCACTCTTGTCTGCAGTAACGGCTTTGTCTCCGACCCTTGGAGGCAAGTTACCTTTTTCCCCAGTGAAAAGAGGTAGAAAATCTTACAGAAATTCATTTGCTCTCATGTCTATTTTCCGATAAGACATGGTCGCTTAGGCTAAATCTTTGGGGAGGTCAAGGCAGGAGGATCACTTGAGGCCAAGGGGTTGAAGACCAGCCTGGACAACATAGCAAGACCCCATCTGTATAACAGAAAAATTAGCTGAGTGTGGTGGTGCGTGCCTGTGGTCCCTGCTACTCTGGAGGCTGAGGTTGGGAAGATCACTTAAGGCTACAGTGAGCTGCGATTGCTCCACTGTACTCCAATCTTGGCGACAGAGCCAAGACCCAGTCTCAGAAAGAAAAGTTAAAAAAAAAAAAAAATCCAGAAATGTCATTTTCTTTTTTTAAACCATCCCAAAAGAAAAATCGGTTTTTTCTAAGAATGTAAAAGGAAAGTGATACAGTTGTTTCTCTTTTTCAAATATTTACAGTAGTCCATCCATGTCATCTCTCATCTCTCATCTCATTACAGAGCAGCAGGTTTCTTTGAGGTTAGTGGTGTTTCTCTATCGCACCTTGGAGAACAGCCAGCATGAAACCTCTTACCACGATCATGCACATTGTTTGTAGTCCTAATTAAAATCCTCTCCAGAGACGCCTGTGCTGCTTATTTATAGCAGAACTTTGGTTTCGCTGAAATGTGCATTCAGCTAATGGTTTTAAGTTCATATCTGAGATGATGCTGTATAATTCCTGAAGCATATGGTATCAGTAATGATTGAAGATAATTCTGGCTGATGTCAGTTAGAGGATATTTTTCACTTCAAGTTAAAACTTCCTTCGTGATAGTCATTTTGGGATTCATTTAACTATGCTTTATTTCATAGCTCAAATTTTCATTAGTCATTTCATAACATAGGATTTTGAAAGCAGATTTGGCAAAATCTTTCTAACAAAATGTTTGCTTATGACGTCCCAAGGAACAGCACTCAGAATTGCTGGTAACTGTGGTACATTTTAAGGCTGATGATAGAAGTCACTTGAACAGGAAGGGGTGCTTTGTGAGGCAGATGGGGTTTGAACCCCGACCCTCCTGATACACCAGCCCTGACCCTGGCCTTCTCTCCTCTCCACTGGGAGATGAGAAGGGTGCCAGCATCCACCTCACAGGCTGTCCTGAGAACCCGGGACTAAGGGCTTGTGTTCCTCTTGCAGGTGGCGCAGATGTGGGGGCTTGACGATATACACACTGCAGGCTGCCAGTGTCGGGGTAATATAGTTTTAGTCATAAAGGTGGGATTTGCTTTGCTCCTCTGCAGACCAGGTGCAGTGCTGCTGTTGTAGCAGGTGTGTGGATCCTCTTGGGTGGTCCTTAGGTGGACAACGAGTCACCGATTCGGATTCCCAGTGTTAGATGTGAGGGGACCATGGACCTCATGTTTCAGGGGAGGAGTAAAAAGCTTCCCTTGTAATTCCAGGACTGTCTTATCCCAGGAATGCCAAACCACTGGCTTTCACCTGACGCTGTCGTAGGTGACACTGTATGGAAATGAGGACTCATGTTCCGCATACCTGAGCCAGTACCGTCTCCCTCCAGGGCCGTGGCTGAGCCCTCCTGATTTCGTTGGGTT